CGACGATCGACATAACTGTTGTGGTTATTCAAGAACTTGGCGTAAAGGGTTTAATCGTGACAATATTATGCATGTATCGGCCGGCCATACTGATTTGTCAGAACATCGTTCAACGTCGATATCGTCGTCATAATCTCGTTTTAACACAAAATACATATGTTATGAGGTTGGCAATAACGTCATGTGCTACAGCGAGAATACAATGTCTTCTGCGCAGATCGGTTTTTTTTTGGGTCTTTCTGTTAAATTAGCTGTCGATTTTTTACGTTGATTGACATTTTAGTAATGCTTGAAGCGTATTGGTTCGACCTAATTTTGTCCTTTAGCTTACTCTGGAAAACGTGCTTCTATAAAAAAAAAAGTTAACAGTTTATTTTATTTCTTTGCTATTTTATGAAGTTCCGTTGAAGTTTGAAAGGAAGCTGGTGAAATCAGTCAACCGTATTTGTGTTATTCACTCAAGATACATAGCTTTGTGAGTATCAATTAGAAAAACTAGTGTTTTCCGTTTAATCAAATGTACGTGGTACGCTATTCATATGTAATTATATTCATATATAACGTATATATTAGACTTTCTAATCTAGGTATTAGAGTCACTATCAATGTATTTGGTATGGCCCCACAATCGCCCGAGCGATAACATTGGCAGTAGGTTCAAGGGTGGCAAAGTGAGACGGTGAGTAAGGCGCGATGCTTTTATAGATTTTAATTGTGCGCAATAGTACTGCAGTCTCACGTAACGATCTATTCTACCAGATTCTGTTCTATATATATATATATATATATAAGCCTTGTTCACTTTTGTCCGACTTTGGGCTTCATAACTTCCGTCACGTACTTGGAAATCACTGGCCATCATTTTTCACCCTGAGGCATCCTAGATGGGCTTTTTAGTTGTACTAGGGTGTCCATTTGAAACTGGGGCTGTTGTTTCTTCCTCAAAAAACATGCGTTGCTTTAGCGCACAAGTAAGATCATCGCACATCCCAAGTTTGCATGTAATATAACAGTCAAGGAGGACGCTTCTCGTACTTATGAAGAGTTTCATAGAAACATCCGTGCTACCGGGTTAGGCGGTAGGTCACTTCTCAATAGTCCTTTCTGTACCTCTGTTCGAAATCTGGTCTAAATCTCCTAGTCCAGACAGTGACCTTTGTAGTATTAACATGCTCATATTGCAAGATTTTGAGAGTGCTTTCCCCAGTGTGCGCTAGAGTAGCTATCCGATCTTGTTAAGTTCTCTCTACCCTCGACTGTGATATCCAATCGTACTGTTGTGTTACGACCATGGCTGCAAGTAGCGAAGTGATATAGAATGTTTTATGTAACCGAAAAACAAGCACCTACCTCTAAGCTGTATTTAGGTGGTTCTTGCTTTTTATTGATATCCTTTTAACGAGATGGAATTACCGTAAAGGCCGATGGCGCCCGCTACAGAGACAAGTAGCTTCCGTTTTTCTTTCCTCCGATTTCCTGATCGCTAACATTAGCCTGCTAAGGCCTCTTGTGGCCAAGGTTTCAGGAGGCTCTTCACGATTTGGATCCGGGTGTGACGTTCCTGTTGGACCGTGATCAAGTCTCTTCTTCAGATGCCGAACTACTTTTTTTTTAAATAGAGTTGCCGCTGTTCTGGGTTGATTTTAAGGTTTTTACTTCTTTCCATTAATATGTAGTAGTAGCTTGGTCTTCCCAGATGCGAGATCATGTGTCTCCTTACCGAATCTACCACACTGCTTATGGCCACATTTGCCTTGTTTCCTAGCCTTGTCTCAGGGATTTTTGCCCCATATAAATTTGCCCTTTGTATGAATCATCTGCCTCGCCACAACGAGCTTTCTGAAAATGTGTGTTCGTTCTGTTTAATTTGCTAACAACCTCACCTTCATAAAACAAATTTGGATATCGTCCTACAGTCCCGACTTTAGTAACCTCGATAATGAACGTTCAGTCATACTTAACGTTTCGGTTAGCATTTCGACAACCTCTGTTCTCTACTGACCTATCGGACAATTCAGTCGATCTTAATCAAACTCCCATTGAGTTAAACTTATCTTAAGTGCGTTTCGCATTTTTTTTTCCCAAAAATTAGCCTGGGCCAGTTCTATCCTTGAATCTCGTCAAAGAATCCTATGCTTACACCGCTACATTGCCTATTCATTGACCTGAGGATCTTACCAAACGCGTATTGCCATGCCTTTATAGACCTTATTTTAGACTAATGTGATTGCATTGGTTCCGGGCAGAGCACCTTCTAGATACTTTAACGTTCAAGCGTGATGCCATTTTGAACTATTAAGATCCACCTTAGTGTAGTATTGCTACTGCTTCGTAGTTACATATGCTCCGCACTTTTTGCCGAACAAAGTCAACGTGGCAGCTCTCCAGAAGTCAAACCCCACGTCTGATTTCCACCGCGGTAAGCTCCTAAACAAACTTTCAGGAATGGCCGTATAACGTTCTTAGATTAAGCTAAGTCAGCGCAAAAGCTACATACTGAATTCTAAGCTATTAGCACATAGCCACATTTGAAATCCTGTATCAGACTGTTTGTTGCAGTCAATCCTAATTATTGATGACCCAACGTGTTCAATAATTACTATACTGTGTTGGATATATTATACGAAGCTGGATATCAATTGTGTCAATATAGTTGATTATTAGAATATTGAACCTTATATCGACAAAGCCGAGTTACCCTGGGTTCTTAAACTGAACAATCGGCTGGGAATTGTCAGAGTGGCACATCGATGAAGGGCACCAAACCCATCCAACATAGCGTCTATAATATATTGCTCGCTGAGATACATTTATACAGTACCACTAATTCAGTAGTACTTACGACTAAATTTGAGCGAACAATAACATTTTTTTAAAATTATGTAAAATATAATTTACTTGAAATAATTACTTGCAAAGCAAAAATTGTTAAATAAATAAAATTAACTATTATCATGATAACTAATGATACGTTCTGAGAGGATCTGTTTGAGGTATAAAGCCCTTGGATGGAAGTGCGTTTATTCTAATGTAGGCTAATTGCTTCTCTATTTTCAATGATTTTTTTAGTAATCACTGGATATCGTTTGTTTCATGCCTGTTACTTCCTAAAATCTAAGCTTAGCGCTTGTATATTAGGTTTGTTCTTTATACAGTTCGTTGGGGTAAATCTTGCAAGCTCGCTGCTAGTTCTATCATGAATTCATATTGTTTATCTTCTTTCCTGTTCTCCTTTGAGCTGAGTGTGCCCGTTTACATACTCCTACATTTTCTGTCGTCTCGTTCCTGCATACTAAAGCTTACGTCTTACGTTACTTGCATAGTACACATAGGCACAGCATATCGTGTAGTCGTGCATGCGAATAAAATAGTTTTCTATATTATCTTTCCTCTTTGTACGTCCACTCGCCCGATAGTCAGTAAATTCCTGTGAGAATCAGCTAGAGTGTCGGTCTCTTATGGCTCTAATGTACCCACCTCAGTATTTGAGCCGCTCTGCGCCTCAAACAGGACACCAGTCGCCGCCGTGTTCCCGTCGAAATGCCCTTAGTAAGCCCGTAAAAAATGGATTACACAGCAAGTCGTGTTCTCGATTCTCGTGTATTTTTGTCTCTTTCGTGTTCTGCCTTTTTTGACTGCACCTTGTGAGGCTAGTGTCGAAGGATCACTCGTTTTTTACATCTTCGATTTCATTTGTCGTTCTCATGACAACCAACTGTTACTAACTGAACACCGCTTGTAGAATAGTGTAACAGACAGCAATACATTTAATGACTCCCGGTGCCTAGGGTACTGAATCTAGCAAACGATAACACCCAGCCGCCAGTCTCTTAGCGAGCCGACTCTCAACGAATATTTCGTTCGATTTGCCGTACCGATTAGGCACATCGGCTGTTGTCACAACGTAGATCCTTAGACTCGTTTACTGACTGGCCAGGTTGCCCAAACGTATCTGGGCACTCGAGACCTGTAACAGCAGATGCCTTCGTTTAGTCGTCGTTGTCATTCGTAAACACCGTAATGTGCTCTGGCCGATACTCGTTGAGGGGCACTACGAAAGTTCTGCGTTCGTACGCTGAAAGGGACGTTACGCACATCGCTGTTGACTTGACGTGGCGTAAGTCCTACTTTTGACCTCTACCCTGGTTCCACCTAGTATCGCCTGCAGCTGTATGCGTTTTGGAATTCTACGTTTACCTGCAGGAAATGCATTGGAAAAGTGTATTTTACGGGAGTCAACACCTGGCACAAAATGGCTGTTTGTCAACTTTTCGTTGATACTGACATGATAAAAACCCTCTTTCTGTAAACGACAAAGTATTTGTAATTGTGTGGTTTACTTTGAATATATTATCTGAATAGTTTTTTATTTTTTGGCACAATTTCCCAAGAAATCTTTTCTTCGTTAATGGAGGGGAAGTAGAACTTTGTGAACGATACACCACATTAGCACGACGATCATGTAGTCATTAAAAACTACGTAGCTGCTTTTATTTTCAATCTTATAATTATATACGAAATGGAGCAAAAGTGTATAGACCTCAGAGGGCTTTTCTTGCATCTATATAGTATAAATGTACGTGTAAATATAGCAAGTAAGACTCTATACGAATATATATATGTTTACGACTTTGGAGCATGGTTCTAACAACTCCATGTTTACGTGCTTGCTTGATAAAGGCGCTTGATAAAGTATTAATTTTGCTAATAGTTTCTTCAAAACAACCAGATACAAAAGTTACTTGGTCTTTTGTATTCTGCACAATAAATACGAAATTAACTTTTATACTCCTTCGACATACATTTTTCATGCATTTTTACTCGGCAAACGGTTAGGAATCGCTAGAAAAAGACGTCAGCATCCTTTGAACGTTTTAATATTTACATCAAATATTAAGGTCAATTTCACTTTGACCTAGCTGGGTAACCTTATGATAACCTGAAATTAGCCGTAACGAAGTGAGAACCTTAATCCAACGGGACCACGCCACCAATAGAACTGGCTTACAAAATGACTAGAATACAATACCAAATATTCTTGTCAGAACGTGCTGGGTCGCAAAAAAGACGATGAAATGCTTGAACAACGTATGCAAAATTGAAATCTCCAACACAATACGACTGAATTGCTAGTGTAGGATAATATAAGGACAATGAACGCTCGATCCAATAAATTGGCTGGAGTAAAGCTGCGCAATAGTTACAACATGAAGATCGTAGTGCAATAAAAGGAATAACTTGAGTAAAAACGTAACAAGATAATGCAATAATCTCATGTACACTTGCAACGAAATTGGATTTCGAACTTGGGTTTAGGTTTAGACTAGGTGAACCTGATTTCGGGTTACATCTGGAAGAGGAATTGTTACCGCTCGGTATCACATGGGAGGCATTGTTATAGTACTAATAAGCCAAACCGACTCAAAACATATACGTATAATAATAGTAATAATTCGGTGCATTATCGTACATTATAACAAGGATATTCAATCTGTATTCTATGTAGACTTGCCGTAGACACTTATTAAGAATACAAGTAAGTTCTTACGATAAACGTCCGTTTATTACTATTTACATCATTTACACTAGAATACGTGATTGTGTTTCAAACGATCACGCATTCCCTCTTAGGGAAACCTAACATTCTCTTTGTTACGGTCCTGTCTTCGGCACTTCCAGGACGGGCCAGCGTGATGCAGCATAGCAAGATGAGCGGTTGGACAGACGCGTCCAGGAGGTTATCTACTCTGAAATTTTTAGTGGAAAATCGCGCGGGGTCCTTTTCTCCAAACGTATGGTTTATGTCATTCACGCCCACTATCCTACCCGGCCCTCAATACAGATATACAGGTGTATATATATCACTTCCTTAATAGCTGTACAGAATCTTCTCTACTGTATCCAATTCCTCTCCCCACAGCGCTTATCATTCTGCCCTAAGTCTAACCCCCTTTGCCAATCACAGCTTCATTCAATTAAACCTAATCAAGTTTTCCATCTGCAATCTCAATACAAACGGCCTGTTGCGGACGGTCATTCTTCGCATCGAACGGCAAAGAGACAAAAAAATCTAGCCGCGGGCCAATCTAAGGATCACGTCTTACACTGAAGTATATCAAGATACCAATATACACAGAGCCACCCAAACCATTACTCTGATATCGCCTAGCAAACCGCTGATCTTCTACAGTATCGCCAGTCTGCGAGCAGGCAGACCGCGCGTGGGCCACAGTGTCGTCGTAAACCAGCTTTTCTTCATTTTGCCTTGTTTTCTATACTTCTTTTCCTTGATTTTCATTTTTCGCTACCCTTCCATGCCTTTGAGGGCTGCCTTTCTCAGACGATCGGCCTCAGGATCCGCTTCAGAGCTGTTGGTTGAGCATCACGTCGACGCTTCCTTGTGGTCCGCGCAGGTCACTCGAGCCGTCCATCGGTGTCTCATTGGCCTGGCTTTGTACTGTAAAGATCACCGAGGATGGAAGTACACTCATCGCAGCTGGCTGAGCTCGGTTTCGCGGAAGAGTTCCCCTGTACAGAGGGTCAATGTTAGAGCGTGTGGTAGTTTTCGTCGATAAGACATGACGCGACGCGGTCAATAGCACGATGAAGCCAGATAGACATTGAAGCCAAGAACAATATGTCAACATGAAACGACATAGAAACAGATACGAGCAAGAACAAAGAGTTATTTGATGCTTGAAAATATCGCATATATAATATTAATGTACGCGCCTGTACCTTTAAGCTACGTGTGTGCCGCCCTTCCGTGTTCCGATGAAAAACCTCGTATTTTCTGCTGGTGGTGCTTGTGAGAGAAAAAAAAAAGCTCAACAATCCAAAAGCGTAGAAGCAGTATAACAAGGTCCTCTTTTCTTTACTGTGCGGTGTGACATTTTGCTGTTGTACAACTATAACTACAATAGCACCTACAGTAATATTACGCACAGCCTGCTGACATTCCTACGATTGCATAGAGTTTGTTCATACTGTTATTCCGTACGTAATGCTTCATAGCTATGTCATTCGTCAGTGGAAAGTGCGAGTACCGGTAACTCCGTAAAGCTGTGCTGGTCCGAAAGCTATACACAGAAATGCGTGCCCAAGTGCAACGTTATTTGTCTCTTATTATATATACAGATGTACAGATATGTTGTGAGCGTAAATGTAGCATACTATCAGGGTCCTGATTTTTCTGTCATCGTTCGGTAGAGAAAGCACTGGTGAATTGGCACTGTTGAATCGATAGAAGTAGTATGAGCACGAGACGTTAGTTCAAGAAAAAAACGAGTAGGAGACGAGTCCTGGGTGTATTTTGATAAAGATACGGGTAGAGGCGAAGAGCTCGCGGGATAGGTGACGATACGGGAATAGAGAACGCTAGCTATACAACAACTCAGCTAATCCTCCGGCTCCGCTGGCGTAAACAGCAGCGCCAAAAGTAACCGAACTGTTAGTATCGGAGAAGGTCTCTCGTACGAATAGAGCGAAGATCCCTCTAGTGTTCTAGATCTTGGGGTAGATCGTAAAGTTTAAGGAGGAAAAAGGCTCTCGAGCTTACTTGTACGATCGAAGGCGTAACCATACGTCCAGTCATTGTGAGCTGAAACACCAGAAGGTTGGCGTAAGGTTTGACGCAAGGCAGACTCTTCTGGTCGTACGAATGAGTAGTATTATAGTAGCAGTCAGATTGTGCCAATGCGTATCTCGGCAATGGGCCTTCCGCCGCCTGACACACGTTTCATGTTGAAACGTAGAGCCTTGTCTCAAGCGAGTTGCACCGCCTGCTAAGAAGCTTATGGAACTCAAACATATGGAAAGATGCAGACCTTCGAGGGCATTGGCGGTCCCCTATTCAGTCATCTAGTGGAGGGGTCTCTTTAAATATATTTCGGTTAATTCGACATTTTACGTCATATGCACATGTGCCTGGGCTACAATGCATATTACATTATTTGTTTCTAGCTATTCGTTTTTATTTCTTTACAAGAGAATATACAGTATCGCTACTAATAACAAAGCGGTGATAACAGTAAATCGCATAATTTTTTTAATGTGTATAGCTAAGCAACTATCGTATTCAAAGCTGTGTCGTCTGCAAATGTGATCGTAGCGACACCCAAAGAGCTCAGTTGTTTTTACAGGTGCGTTGTTGTGTCGTGATCTTGTAATCCTATTGAGTCCTCGCCGATTGGGAAGGACCCTATGCGCAGCCAACCTTTTGTACTGTTTTGGTAATGATGCACCGTAAGGTGCAATATGCATAATCGACTCAACTCATATGGACGCATGCTTTACCATACCGTCCACCCATAGCATACGTATAAGGGTAAACCGTACTTTGATTCGCCTTTTGCTAGTGTCTTTCGCCATGCTAACAATCCTCAGCATGGTATTGGTTACATAGCGTTGACATCCACCCACTTTACAGAAATTATGGCCGGAAGTCAGTCAGCAGTTGTAGTCGTTGGACGGTTCGAAGATTTCATCATCTTCGAGTTGGAATGTACCACTTTATCGAGACTCCAAGCCAGCAAAAGTGCCACTATACATGCACCGTTACCGCTTGTACTTACCACACTTTCGGGGAGCAAAATGAGAAAGGTAAAACGTTAATTTTTGCCGGAAAGTTCTGCGTGCTATCGCCTTGAGAGCAGACGATCTTAGCTTTCTGGTCCTTTCGAAAGCGGTCTAGCTGCGTAAGACATGTCGTTCTGCGAGTGAAACACTTGTCGCATTCTACAAGTTCGATGTTGCCTTTTCTTAACAGGACGGACGCGCGCCTTGCAAAACAATAGGCATTGGATGAGTATACGAATTCGCCTTCTCTACGAGATGAGTAAATCCTGTTGCGTGTAGCCATAACGGCTAGTTTAAATGGGCAAAGTCTTGTAGATGGCAAATATCGGTTAGTGTGTACGTGTTACGGTATGGTACAAATTATCGTAGTATGGCGTGAGCATATTTCTTTCGCGAAAAACCGACGAGAGCAAAGCTAGCTAATTGGATGGTGCACACGGAGATTTTTAGGGTTTGAATTAGTCGTTATAGTTATCTTATTTCACGTCGATACCAACCATTATTTAATGTGATGAAATTGATTGTACGGATACGGCTAATTTCGTGTTTTTTTTTAAAGAAAATTGTGTATTTTTTTTTACAAGTTGTAGTTTTTGCCGAAGATCAAAGGCCTAAGTGTCTGCTCCAAGGTTCAAGCAGTTTCTTCCTTGACATCCATATTTCGATATCATTATGTGTTATAGCAAATAAGACACGTATCATTAAGGTACATAATTATGGATTCTAAGAACCTATACTCTAGGTTGTCATTGAGTGGCAGTAATGCATAGGTATATCAATGCATAAACGTATTTTGCAATTAAAGAAACTCGTCGGCTCGCAGGCCTTAGGAGATGAAGCTGGATTTAAGCAGTCGAAACGCCAACTGGACACGATTAAAAGAATTGCACCCGCGTCGCTCTTCATTTTTTCAGTCCACAGTGACGGATTCACAATAGGTACTGTGTGTGAATTTTGAAGCCTCGCACGACCCGTAATTAGCATGTCCGTTTGGTGTCCTGCTTATGTATATGATTAAAAGGTGAGCGTCAAGCGTCGAGAACGATAATGTCTAGCGGCACACCAAAAGTATTCTGCTTCGCCGTCAGAGCACCGAAAGTCGTTCCGAGAGCGATGGGAACCTCTTGCGCAGCTCTCAGTAAAACTCGTAATACAAATTTCTATTGTTGTCGGAAGCCATGGACCACAGTAGCAGCGATCTTCGATGACAATGGGATCTGCACAGGGAAGGCAACGACCAGAGATCGGACGTAGCCATAGCGGGCCGAAGATGTATGCTAAATTAATGGGTCGACAGAATAAAAACTAACTTTTAATACTCACTACACAAAAGCGGACGCCGCCGCTGACAATAAAAGCCATCGCACTACAGAATCAAGCAAAACCATATTGTCGTCATTATCGGCATTTTCGTGAAATTAAATGCGCATACCCAAAAGCACCGCCTTTCATATAGTCAAAGACACGCATAGCTACATGAAGTATGAGCCTATGTAGCAGCGGCTGCAGCAGACCTCTGAGGACTTCAACTGGCGGTCCTCCGCCAGCAGCAATAGCAAAGGCTACATCAACATCGCCAGAAAATCAGAGGAAGAGCATCAATAGAAGGAAAAATGTCGTATCTTGTATGGAAAACAACATACGGTAGGCCGCGGAGGAACCTTTGTAGTATTTATCTGTAGTTGTTGAAAGTTGCTGGTTTACACAGCAAGCTGATGTGGAACGAAGTACACCACAGAAATTCGCAGAGCAAACATGTGTTTAAGGAAAACCATTTGGCAAATTATAGAAGTCACGTGCCGGTTCAGTGTTGCAACCGCCAAATAGGGAAGGAAGATGTTACCTATAGGGAAAAAGGACAAAAGCAGGCTCTGCTACATGCTGGTAATAACGGTAGCTTTGTGACATTGACGAAAATCTCTCTACCCTGTGGCGCGAACACGATTTGCTGAACACTCCATCGTGTTGTCAATCTAAGTGCTTTGCTGCCAGTGAATAGGTTTGCAACCCACTACTCGACTTGGCTATTGATTCAATAGAGCAATCAAGACCTATGACGTAGTTTACTGATTGTGTGTTTGCCTTCTAGGTTCTCAGCAGCGGTACTATGATACTGATAGCTAATTCATTACTGCAATTATATCGACGGGTTTTTCGTCCACGTCAACAATTGCATATAATGCAATCAGCGCATGACGGAGAGACGGCTCCTCTAAAGGAGTCGTACATTTTTTAGACTCTGTGTCTATCAGGCATTAAAATTTTGAACTCAATGGCGTTCCACCAGGCTCCGTTGTTCCATCTTAAACTCACCGGCTATCGAGTATAAACCAAGCTTAAAATAAGCCAGCCAGAGATAACCGTAAAGCTGCGTTTTCTCCTTGTGATTTTCCGTATAAGCAATCTATTATTTACAGGTTATTATACGTCTAGTCAGTACTTCGTGGCTTACATATATCTACATAATTTACTTATAAGCCGACCTATTTATGCTGTCGTTTAGTAAATAATTAGGATAACACAAAGGTCATATACAAATTGGTATACTGTAAGGCCTAAAAAAATAGTCAGCTACTACTAAGCTATTACTGTCCCACCTCCAGCGGCTTGTTTCATATTAAAAACTAAATATAATTTAAACAAAAATGTAGCTTATGAACCAAATAGATCTAAGGTATTATAGCCAGTGAACGTCAGTAATAATGATGCCATTGCTTCGTCTGACGGCCTAATGAGTTTTTCTACTTACGGTATACTATCGAAGGGGCCTTTAGGCTGGCGAGGAAGGCTTAATCTTCCGCCCCCATTGAGCTCAAGGTTGAGCGCCTCGTTCTCGATCAGGCCGCGATAGTCGACGTCTGCGACAGACGACGGTGGCCCCATCTGAAAATGCACCTACAGGTGTAGAAGGAGCAAAAACGCAGCTTCTTTTTTTACTTATATTATCGTTTAGCGCTACTGAAAAATCATATTTTTTAAATCATGCCTTTTAAATACAATACGAATGATATATCTAGGCACATGTATAAGCAAAAGAACCATGCATCGACATGGTGCTTACGGAGTGTTACGTTTTAAGTTTTATGGCCCATACTGCCGTCAAATATTGCTTTCGAGGGGTGGCTTCCAGCATCAAACAAGGTGTACATGTCTGTGCCCGAATTCGAAGCTAGACCATCTCACTAATTGTCCCTGAGTTTAGCAGGCAAACGTATTACTGCTGCACCATCACGCAAGCGCCTGAAGAGTTTGTTGAAACATGTCATTGAACACATTATGGAAGCCATGAGTCATACTGGGGGCAATGTTCAGTGCAAACCCATATCATCTCTACCTTTTTATACTTATTAAGCTGATCAACATCACGAAAAACCCTTGCAACTAGCTAAAATAACTTTATAAGACACGTGCACGCATCGGGAGCTCAAAGACATGAATAAACGAAACCTTTACTCGCACACTATTGAAAGCCTTTCCGAAAACAGTACGTCGACAAATCAGCAGCCACGCGTACAGTGAGGCGTAGCGGCCAGTTCCGCTAAAACTTAGTCCGCAGCCATTTATCACAGCTCCAGGTGCGGCTTCAACAAGTCTGGCTTATGATATCCCGGGGGTCAGCAACAACACGTAATATACCCCCAACAATCGGACGGACTATACGGCTAATACTCCCCAGCTCTAGCGAGATCCATTTCGCCTATTCGTTCGCTAGCATCTCGAATAAATTTCAATCACCTTGCCCACCGCTCCCGTATTGGATTGACGGGGACGATACCATCACGGAAGGATCGACCACAGCTCAAGTGGATCCAATGGGTTTGGCTAAAGCTGACGGAAAAAAGTATTGTATATGCACTCTGGCGTATACAATATAAACCTGGTACGGCCGCTCTCTACGGCCAATTCGATCTCGAATTATCGTTTATCTTGAAATGTAGTCGCCAGTAAGATAATATACCGTGCCTATGCTACTAAGCGGGATGTACTGATAGGAAACATACAGAGGATTCTTCTTGGTACTATATGAAAGTTCTAAGAGGGTCAGATCTTTCATAAAGCTAGCTCAATCCGTCTATTAAAAAAAAATCGGTTTAGTAAACGTGAGCCTCGTACTGATGCTTCTCTTCATAGTACTTACTAAAGTGGTCACCTGCTCAGAGACTGACATTCGTTTAAATATACACACGGTCGTTCTGTTACGTTCTTGTCACGTTATTACACGAGACGTAGCAATATTAACAGAAGCATTATTCGGCCTGCAATTACCAACATATCGACGTAAATTAATGGCTAACGCTGCTATTGCCAACGCGATAACAATAATCGAATGCTGCACAAAGGTAATTGGACATTGTAGGATCCCTTGTCGATGACTACGGTTCTCCTTGCACAACCTGCACGAGGCCACTATATTGTAAAGCGTGCTATCGTCATAAGTAGATCAATATGATCGTGCTCTAACTGAAATGAAAGGCAGTGAACGGGAAGAGTTCCAGCTACACTCTACCTGTCTCTATATAACATATATATATAGTGTCGATATATGTATTTATGTACTATGTACTCATATATATACCTGTGGAGGCTGGCCAGTGTTCTTCATCATGTGCCCGCTTTGATGATGCGGTGGGCCCATATGATGGTTGATGGAGACCTGGTGCCGTTGAACGGTCGACCCGCGATCGGGTCCGCCGGGCTGGTGTCCCTTTGGTGGACTTAGCGCTGAAGGCAGCGTCGCCTGTCTGGGCGGTGATGGTGGTGGATTGCGCAGAATGCTTGCCGTCACCATCATTTCCTGCTGCTCTTTGCTTAGGCTGTAGTTACTCTGCGAGTTAAGGCTGCACCTACTTGAAGCGGACTGCACTACGCCTTCTTTACTACGTCTCCGCTGTTTTTTTGGCTGTTGGTATGAGGTGGCGACACACAAACAAGTGGACGATATGTCAACCCGATCAAGAGATTAGCCTGATCAGACACGGATCCACAAAGTACTGCGTAGTCCAACGCGGAATTAATACCATCCGTCATATTTTCTCAACGAAACTGTGCCCTATTATAAAATTCAGTGTACTTTTGAATTTTTCAAAAAGAGAGAGGTTTTTCTTAGGGAAATGTGCGGCATTGATCTAGTGTTCTATTGGTCTGAGCAAATACTAGTAGTTTGGAAAGCTTCCGAAACGGATTTCGGAATTACAGTTAGATCTCTCACCGTTCTTTTTGTACCAACTAGGGAATAGTTTCTGTCTTGAATATACTTACTATAAGCAGTTTTCGACAAGTTAATGTTATAGCACGCTCGTCTATCTTGGCAAAAAGCTAGCAAAAGTGTTTGAAAAACTTGACCCAAACTAGCTAAAACAATGAGTCTCCGCAATGTAAAGATACAATGAAAGTTGGCATTGTTCCATGCATACTGTATAAAGAGTAAACGAACAAATTACCAAATTCTATACGGTCATTTCGTATTCTAGAACTGTGTCAGTACATTTACGTTGATCGATATAATTTTCATCCCAATATTGGGTTTTCAGGTGATGCCTGTACCCTAGTACATTTAAGACTTCTCGTTAATTACATACGCCAGCAAAACTATTGACGGGTGCGGTACTTCAAGCTGTCGAAGTTGTGACAATTAGCATCACGTATAACGCGCAAAAAATCAACTCATCATAGCTTTCATTCTTTGTTGACCATCCCGCTGTTGGTAATCACGAACGTAACTTGGTCGCTAGGTCGTTCGTTCTGCACAGACCCTCACATAGATAAAATCTTCGACGTTCACAGACACGTACACTCACCCACGTACCTCCCCGACGTGCGAGTTCACATACCTTTTCTTTCTTCTCTTCTTTGACTCGGTCACGCTGATAGTAAACTCCGCAAAAGATGAGCAGATTTAGCACGAGTAGGGAGCTGCCTACAGCGACGGTGATCGAAAGCGCTGTCGAGTAGCTACCGTACTGGAGGAACAGCGTGTCTAAAGAAATGGGAGGAGACAGACCCGTTTCACCGGTCCCCGACGCGCTTCCGTTCGACACGACCGAAGCGGCTGCGTTTTCTGGTACTGAAGCCGCCACCGAACCTTCCACTGGCAGCTACATGTTTGCCAAGAAGAAACCGGACAAGCGATGAAGAGCACAGAAAACGAACAAAATCCAAGGTCATCAAACATAATCAAGAGGTCGTTGCATAGTGATAAGGGCAGACGTTGGGGTTTCTGCCGAACTCCGGATTGCGTGAGATGCACTGGATTTCGTTTTTCTTTTGTTTGCTAGGAAACTACTGATGACAGCCGAACAAAGGCAACGATGAAGACAATTGCGCGATGCCAAAAGACAACGATTTCAGGCAGGGGTTGGGGTGGGGCGAAGGCAACATTGTCTACAATAGGACGGATTGGGCATGGAATAGTGAATAACACAAGGCGCTTGCATATCCCTGCAATGTAGTATAATGGTATATACATATATATACCGTTATACTACATTAATAATCGTATATATATATATATATATATATATATATATATAATCGTATATATATATATATATGTATGTACGTATGTATAATCGTATATATATATATATATATATATATATATATATATATACGATTATTAATGTAGTATAATGGTATATACATATATATACCGTTATACTGCATTAATAATCGTATATATATATCTTACAATCTCACGGCGTAAAAGACACAATGATATGTGATACTGCGAATACATTGGATATCAGCGGTCTTTTTTTCATAGTATTCGAACATATAATCTTTGCATATGGAACGGTATTTAGTAAAACCTGTGTATAGCAAACGGCACTAGCAGAAATCGTAAGCCCCTTCAGAGCTCCTCACGTCAGGGTCCTGTCATCTAATAGAGTAGTCCATATATCAGTTAACTTTTTATCGCTGACTTCGTTTAGGTCAAGCGTCACAATAATGAGGTATAGATCGTGCAAGAGCGACAAAAACATTCTTTTCAAGAAATAACAAAACAGAATATATTTCTATTGTAACAAAGGAACCAATAGATCATCGAAACCCGACTAGGAACGACTGGGGTATCTAAAAACGATTCACTAGAGGAGAATATAAGCAAAATGAGTGATTTGAGTGAATACTTCTATATCTTCTATCGCTTTTGAGTATAGGTGTTACTTGCCCTGCTGTTGTCTTCTGTTAGACCATCGCCGGAATCTGCTTGACCATTATGTGAAGGATTTGTAGGTCGCGGCGGCAAATCGAGAGTTCCTCTCGAATCCTTAAGAATCTCTCCATCAAACGAGTTCGGGTTGTCGTGTCCCTCGAGCAGGTGGTGCCTTGAGCTCACGTCCGACCCACCCGGTCTTCGTTGGTCATACGGCGAACGAACAGAACACAATGGAACAAGAGAATAAAAAATGGTAGAAGCCAGGCGCAGCATAAGGTCGACGTCGATGGGAGGGTGAATGAAGATATAGAAAGAGAAATAAACGGTGAAAATATTATGGAGCTATGGAGGTATCTAAGTATGTATACACGGAACGTAATTTTTTTAGAGCGCTCTAACCAGAACCTGGGCCCATTTATCCATCGCATACGTCCTAAAGCACATCATTGTTGCCATAATTTATGTGTGGTTGACAGGTAGACTGGGCGGGCACTGAAGACGCAGACGAATCACGCGATCAGTGGCGCAAACGGTGGCAAGGCCACGCCAATACGAAAGCACGCATTCAACCCGTCTATGATGTTGTGTTTTCGATACTAGCGCTGCCTTTGAGTGGCCCTTTTTATGCCGCTGGGCTGGCACAGTCACCGTGCCTCACCGCCTATCTGCGTGTATATGTATCTAGTAATGAATCTACGGGGTGACGAGACAAAAGCAAATTGACCAAGGATAGAAAAAGTTAACTCAGAACGATCGGGGAAGTCAACACCAGAAGAAGAGCATAACCCACCTGTGGAGTAGCGGAATCAAGTGGTTCCATAATGAGAGCCGGTGTGCATGATAGTGATCTTTAATTTTTGGCTTCACGCCAAGGTACATGTACTTCTGATGAGTGAGGTCGTACGCGGGCCAGGAAATCTTATCGAACCGGCCTTTTTGACGCTCAGCGACGGCGTCACTGCCGGAGCTCTCCTGCGCAGCGGGCGCGATGCTCGGATCCCTTTCGGAAAAGCAGCCGTAGCAGCAGAGTAACGAAAGAAATGAACGAACCCAGAAAAGAAAGAATGGTAAGCAAGAATGGTGGAAATAGATAAAGAGGATTATACAAAGAAAATCGACATATAGATGTCGCGATGTTCAGTTTTAATGTTAACGTAATGTCATTTTCTCTAGGTCGTGGAAACCTGCGGAATATATTGTCCTTCTAACGAGTTTTAGCTGTATACACATATATGAATGTTCTTTTTCTCTCAACATTGCCCACTTCGTGCGTTAGCTGGCACGTCTATTATATTAAACGTATTTTAACTAAATTGCTTATTCGTGCATATGCTACTGATCGTCAGACTGATTGAGGTCAATGGTATCTCGACAATGGTGGGAACCGAATGGGGAAACCGAGAAAGTAACGAGCTCCATACCACATCTGGGGCTCTGCGGTCCTTTCGTTGACTTCCTGTTCATTGTTAAAGCTCCTACGGACGGACTTATATAGGACGGTTTCGACATATGAAGGCTAGTGGAGGCATATGGGCGCCATTCTTGATCTCTCGCTGTAAAGTTGTGGAGAGATGCCCAAGTGATCTAATCCACGTTACAAGTCTGCAACTGTAGCCTCTCTCTTATGTTTTCTTTCTTGCTCAGTTTGTTAGAATTGGTTAAGAGCTGGGAATCGACAGGAAGCAGCTAAAGTCAACATCCATCGTTCGTCTAGTGTCGGACCGAGAAAAAAGCAACATACTGTTTAAGCTAGAAAGCGCCTCGTAGACTAGCTACTAGTTTGATGTCGTGTGAAAGGCCCCATGTCCGGAGAGTTCATGGTTCTTAGTGTTTTTTTGAGCTGGTGTAGACAGTACCGTTGCCCAATATAGCGTACGATGGTCTATCGATGTGTGTGAAGAGCATGAAAATAGGCTAGGGAAAAGGTGTAGCAAGTAGATACATGCTCGGCTGAGTGCTGGCTGGTTAAGCTGAGGAGCGCGTTTCTTGGAGTTAGCTGAGTCTCTTTCCATTCTCGTTCTCTTCTTGTTCGCCGATTACATAGACACGCTTGCTTAGAGTGACATACGCCCCTGACTTCTTCTGGACTGAGAAAGTTCTGACTGGCAGTCACCCTTTGATGATACCGGTAGCTTAGGCTCTCCTGAAGCTGTGCCCTTGCCATAGCTTCAAACCTATGTTTTTTCCTCACCACCATTGTGAACCTAAGGATGGTAGGCGTATTCTAGCCAAGAATCACTTGCTTGCACAGCCAGTCGTATGTGTAGCAGTTGCCGGCCGGACAGACCGAATAACAGTAATAATGCTAATATTGTTCTATGTTAAGGACAACAAAGAGAGCGAGGTGGCTGATACTACTCGAAACTGCTGCTATTGGAATAAGGTGTAGGGAAAAGTGTGTGGGCCGTAAGTGCGTGTTATATATAGCTGCTTCATAGCAGCAAGCTTATTCCGTACAATCTATTGACGTTAGTCTGACAGCGTAACATTACGAGGGGTGTCGCGTAACTTGGCCCTCCTTGCCGTTCGATGCTGAAATTCACTCCCTAAGAACTTGCAAGTAGTGTTTTATACTTGGTTCAGATGGCATAGCTGTCGTCTACTACAGTGACTAGTGTTGGTAGGTCGCTCGCTTGACGGCATCGTGATCAGCTAAACTGGTGCTTTCTATCGTTGCACGACAATTCCACGCGGTTTGGGACATTTCCAATGATAGCTGTTCATGACGTCCACATGCATAAATTTGACGCAATGTGCACGTTATAAAACAGAGCGGTTCTCTACAGAATCTACCCTTAGAGGCATTTGTAGAACGTTTTGGAGCGTTCTATATCATGGTCTGTACAAATGAAGGTGTAGAGAAGTTTTCAATCGACGCATCTATAGAAGTTGTAATGTTATGCGTAACTTGAATCTTCTATGAATATGGGAAGGCCTCAAAAAGTGAACAAAAGTTTTGGTGTAGTCGATGCTGAAACTTGTATGGAAATTTTAGGCATATAACATAGTCTGAAGTTTATACCTAGTCAATAATAACAACAGCATTTGAGAAATTTTATAATCCAGTTCGGGCTTGATTCGGGACACAACTATAAATGTTGGTCCCGCTTGTCGCGATATAATAGAACCATGAAAATGTTATAGTGAATGACCAGGGATAGGACCAAAAAAATAGCCAATGAGTGTCTATAGTTTTTGGCAACGACGTCCTCTAATTCCAAAATAACTCTATAGACCAGTTAGATTTGTCAAAGACAAAAATGTTCTTATACTACATTTACGTATCTTTGAAACTGTCCGTTTTGCGAGTCCAGCTACTTTTTTTGCGACTCGGTACCTTTTGTAGGGGACAAAAATGCTAGTCTATAAAACTTGAGCAAAAATATAGCTCGAAATATCGTAGTTGGGATTTATTAGTCGGGATTGATAGGATTAATAAAAAATTGGCTAGTTATTGTTTATTTCTTATAAAGCTCTTGAATTTAAGAATCAAGGATTACCAAGCTGTGGCAATTTCTGATAAAAAAAAGTACGATTTCGATCTCAGGGTCGATTTCCTCGAGATATCCAGACACTGCTGTTGTTCTACGAACTTCTAGAAGCAGGGCGGGTAAAAAATCTTAAATAAAAACGGCATGCAAATGTTGCGCTAGGTCCGTGAAATCTGAGTTGTGAAGTACTATACTTTGTTGAGTTTAATTTCACGAGAAAAAGACATCGACTACTATAATAATTACAACGAAATTGCAATACGCTCAACTTACCCAACTCGCGCAAAGTTACTCCAGTAGCTAATAAACGCCTCGGAGAGGGCCTGTTCGTTTTTACTAAAGTTACTCTTAAAGTGGCTGACTAGTGGCATAAGTGGGGCTCCAAATAGATACGCAAGATCTTCGCCATGCACAGCACCGACCCGATTCGGATAATCACCCTGCTCGGTCATGTACCCAAAAAGATAGACAAATGAGTTTTTTGCTACCTTTGCGTGAAGTTTTGCCGCTCGTATTAGTGGAGCAACCACCAATGCATCGCCAAGAATCTCCGCCGTACCTGAAATCAACACGAAGCATTGGGTAAAAGTCGGATTGCGACGCCACTGTTATATCCGTTGGGATTTATCGATATGAACCGAAAAGTAGTGAGTACTTTCCACTCTGGCTATGTCGCCTCCATAGTTAACCGTAATCCACCGATGTAAATTGTGTGTGTATTGTAAATATCGTCCCTAGATGAAACAGAACCGTACGTAAATGGGTCGATATCAACTGGGGCGAGCTAAATTCGATTCATGTTAAAAAAGGGTCGCTTCAGCTAAAATAGTTACTGTGCAAATTTAAATAAAAAAATATCCTTTGTGGGTTTAGATTTACCCCTTATTTCTTATAATGTCCCCTATTCGTGTTCCAACACAAGGCGTGTGACATCCCTATGCATACAAGTAATTTTTTTTATTGCTAATTATTATTAGCAAGGAATAAGGCGACATAAACCTGTTGCGACTTCAATAGCGAGGAATAAGTGTAGGACAGTAACTAGCTAAGGGCTATTAAGGCAACAAAATCACGTTTAATATTTTCGTCTTCGAGATGGTATGTCGGCCTTCTAGCGAATACCAATGAAACTTATATAATCGGGCAGATCTATGTAGAGTTCTATAACGATTCTCAAGAAGTAAAAATTACTCACAAAATAATTCTACATTTGGAGTACTTCGAAACCAAGTTTAGCTCGATATACTTTCGCCCATTGTGCAAAATGTGCTACGCTATGCACCTGGTATATATGTATAGCTATATAATTGTCGATGTTGCCAAAAAATAGCTAAAGTGAGTTAAATTAAGCAACAATGGGTCTATGCGACAGGATTGGTTTTGTTTTGAACGGCTAAGATATCCTTTTAGTAGTATATTGAAGTTAAATAGGTAGTGGCCGTTCTGGTTTCAGCTTCAGGCTAGATGCGGTTTACCATTGAACGGTCGTCCTTTTGGGCGACAAGGTTGTTACCGTTGCGTTTCATGTGGATAAAAAAATTTTACTCTGAGCGTCGATTTGGTATGCAGACAGATTTTCGGGCAGAGTGAGAGAGGGGCTTGGAAATTAAGCTTCTGCTAGAGTTGGAACACAATCGAAGCAAAGATAAACTTATTAGTAATGATTCTCGTCCAAAGGGATCCAAAAAAGGTCCAAACAGAACAAGCACGATATACCTGCGTGGCAAAGAAGAAGCTTTTCAACACCAAGTACCACTCGACCATCAGTTAACGAAAAAATTGGAAAAAGAAGGAGTAGCACATGAGAACGATTACTATTTACATGACAACTTCAAATACGTAGTGTCATATACGGGCATAAAGTATAGACTACGCCCTTTACCGCTTACTCATTAACGACGCCTAAAATAGTATACTTCAAAAATTGTTCAAAGCATAGAAATTGTTTACTCAAAGCAGAGGTCATCAATTTATAGTTTGCCTGCGTTTGCCATGAGTTACCATGTCAATACTGTGAACAGGCCGACACAGGTCGATAGGCCACTTGTTCTCTGCATTGATTACTAGTCATCGTCAGTGATAATAGGTCCATTATGTACGAGAAGACATATTTGCGCAGTTAAGGAGTTATTTAATGGGTATTCTGGGTTATAGCATTAAACTGAATAGATAGATAAAAAGCAGAGTAATTTGGGATCAGGCTCTACGAATAATTACAACTACTAGAGAATTATGAAGCCATATTTAGGTCAATGTTGAAACTATTCTATACTGTACATATGGGTTTGCGTAAGTATCCAAAAGAAGTGGGACATTGTTCTTCTTCTAAGAGGCAGCCTATCATCAAGGTGCACTCATCGTCCTACCGTCGAGTATGCTGAGTGGATGTTGGAATGGTCTCGTCCAGTCAGTATATTCATTGACAACCGTCAGAAGAATTTCCTGCTGATGAAAGCTAAAAAGGTTCCGTATAAGAGTTCGCAATATTCGGTCCCGACGGTCGATTTCGATACCGTACTTTTCTTCCGAAGCAGCGATGAAGAAGTACGCCTGTTATAATACAAATTTCGCTATGGTTAGCTTGAGTCTCTGACTAACGAACAACTGTTACTGTCTTAGTTTTGGTAATCTATATTGGTATTATTAGGTTAAGGGTCGTACTGTTTGCAATAGAGGAAGTAAACGTATGGCTGTGCACGTCCATACAAAATTTAGCTCGACCCTTCGAAGACAGACTAAATGCGAGAGAATCAAAGTAGTCAGGTGATGTAGCTTCGACTTCACTTAACTTCGCCTAGAAGTACTCGTTTCAAGGTCGATTTTATTTCCTAATGGGGGTGTTGTTATTATCGTATCATACAGAATTAATATATCATTTAATGGTTCCGTTTGAGTCTTAACCAGGCGCACCTTTTCAACTAATGCAGCACTTTTCCCATTCCAAAAATATTCATCGACCTGATAAATTAGTTCTATAAAAATGAGCTGGAATAGAGCTGCCGATTACGGCCGATTGAATACGCGAACAAGCCAAATCAGTAGCATTCTGTGTTCCGTACTAAGTTTCCATAGGGGTAACATCGTATGGAATTATTTACAAGTACTTTAACATAACTGTTGACCATACACTTGGAGCTGGATTTTGCTTTTGGCCTTTGGGTCGTTGGTGGACTTCTGGAGGACGGCTTTGTTTTGTTATAACTTAAATGTTTTTCTTTTTGTACGTATTTTTTTTTATTTGCAAATCGTTCTGTAAATATTTGGAAAACTTTTTTTCGGAAACAAGCGCAATTCTATTAACATAAATACTAGCTTGCTACTCACGTCCATGTACCTGTTGTCCATCAAATTTATTGCAACCAGCAAAAATTGTCCCTTTCCGTATCTTCTGGGATCGTCTCAATCTACTTGTCTCAATGATGCGTTTTAACGGATCAAGCAAACGATACACAACAAACCGTAAGACATCGTAAACTGTTTGGGCGTTCTCAGGCGCTTAATAGCGCGTTGACATGCCTACACAAAAGCTTAACGCGACGATCTATTCAATAACAAGGGATGCATGTGTCTTAGTAACCTGCTCTAAGTGCGTTCAGGTGAAAAACTTTGAAAAATATGCTCGGTCACGAGATAAGATAACCTAGATATAGAGATAAGACAAGATAACCTAGTTATTTTACTAAATAGGTCGAAACTAGTTTCTCCTGTAGGAAATTTATTGTTGATAGAAATTAATTTACGTGGTCGGCCCATCACAAGCGATCATCAGCATTTTACTATGTTATCCGTTGCCGCATGAACAGAGCCTATTTCTAGTCTATCTATTCTCTTCTCATCCCAGTGAGCAGGTTGATTTAATTGAATTGCCACGCTTTTCTAGATTGGCGCTTCTCTAAATGGTTTTTTTCTTCAACTTAAACTACGGTTGCTGCCGTACAGTTCTGGGTAGGTCGTTCGGTTTTCATCTTGGTGAAAGCAGTCTTCGGCGAACTCTACTCTGGGCAATCGGCTTTCTTCCGTTGCTCTTGGTTATACAGAGTGTGGGGGCAACTTCATGGTATCTCTATTGATTAGCCCGACTGTTGAAACCAGTCTCCGAATTTAGTTCACCAATGTCCTATCCATAAGTATTCTCAGCCAATTTCTTTCGACTATTAAACCTACCTAGCTTCCTCCCAGCACCACAAAAGAATATCAGGGCTGGGCCGCACGCATTGAATATATTATATAATAATATAGCTTGTGCAGTCTGGCCAGCTGCAACTATCAGTAAGAGCTCGCTTGTCATACCTATGTTTGTAGATTTCTCAGTGAGTCTCCATGACACCCTCACTAACGACGAAATTGCCCAGGCAGATTAGATACGGCTATCGGAGGTCCCACAGCTGAAACTGTCATTCGAACCCTCAGGCAAGCGTTTTAGGGCCAACGGTAGCGTCCCCTACTACGTTCACAACGCTGTGTTAACGGCGGACGTCCAGTTCGCTGCTGGCCGGCGACCAGCGTATGTTCATCAATTATCAACTAACAAAACAGTGGTGTCCTCTTGTTTTTTCTTCAAGCGACACCGATGGTACTTGCACTGGTATTTCCTTTACTCTTTGCTCGTCCATTCTTCCCCCACCAAGAAGGACATGTCCTTTTTTTAGGCCATATTTCCTCAATACTTACTTGTCACTTGCTCCTTTTTGGCCTCCTCTTCTAACCCAAGAAGACAGTGGTCGTGGTCGGCAGAGACCCCTGCCGCCTGTTCAGCTTGCAGCGTCTATTATAATTATATTATTATTAATCTCAGCGGGCTATGCTAAGACGGCAGAGCTGTAGCTGTGGTCTGGCCACTGTCTACAACGGTGATGGCGGTAGTTACAATGGCCGCCAAACGCTGACGAAGTCAACAGAGTCCTTCGCCTTCTTCTTTCTATCTATCCGCCTCAGACAACAGCCGAAAAATGAGGTGAGCTGTGAGATCAGTCAAAAAAGACAAAGAGAGAGACAGAGAGAGAGAATGGAGCAAATTCACTTTCAGGACTCACCAAGATAATTAAGTTCCGACAACCGACGACCTCAACGTTGCCACAAAGCCTCCCCATTTGCATGGTGGTCTACACTGTACTGCGCTGTTGTTGGACACCGGTTAGTTGTGTCGAACTCTACGGTTCTCAAATGGTTGGAGCAGTTGGGACACCACAACGATGAAACGACCGTCTGACCTCCGTTGCCCCTTCTCTTTCTCTGCCCCGTTTCTTTACAGTAGGGATGTGTAGCAGCAGGAATTGGTGGTCATTTAATGGCGTATGAGTCTGACAGTTAACCAACGGAAAGGGGATCTGGGACGACGAGGCGAGCTGCTAGAGCGGTACCCGCTACCACCCCGATGGGTGAATACGGTCAGGCCCTATCGGGGTCTTCGGCAACATTTCCCAGTGGAACCAGGCATGGATTTCATGGCAGCGGCGCCAGCAACAGCAGCCGTATGGACAGTAATCATCGAAGCCAGTGACGACTTTGCTCGAGAAGAAAAAGATGCGGAGGGCAGCTTACAAGAAATAACGGCCAAGTAATGGTACCAGCAGCTGCCCTTGTCGCAGTGGAGCGCGTGCTTTGGGATGGCCGCGTCGTAGCAATGACTGATGACTAGTGGGATTCTGTCGTGTCCTTTGCGTGAGTTGGGCTAGATACTAGTTGCTTGTTGGTTTGGATTATTTTTGGAGGTAATGGCGACGCTGATTCGGATATTGCTGCTAATAGTAGCGGTGATGCGCTTTCCGGTGATAATAATGATGAGCGGAGTACGCAGAGTTTTAATTGTCCAGCCTGAACGGAAACATATTGCAAACGGAGATGGCAAATAGTGTAGGATAGATGGATTCATCGTAAAATTAACGCGGATGAGAGGCAGTTATACCCGACCTCTTCCTAGACTTGTAGAACTACATTGTGAGAGTGACGAATTGCGACAGCATCGCACCCCGGCCACATATACTGTTTACTAGAAGTACAGAGCGTAAGTATATGGGCTAAATATGTACGTATACAGTTTCCTCCCATTTATTTATGGCTAGGCTTCTAAAAAAAGCAGCGCATGCCCCTCTCCAATATATCAAACATGTCCTATATTTTGTTCTGATTAATTTTTTTGCTTAAGCATATGAACGACGAAAAACAAACACTTCAAGTGTCGATCGATACAGGCTTCTGCTTGCTATACAGAAATTATAGTAATGAAAGTAGTTTATAATCATCTATTATTATTATTGTCCACCAAGTAAAAAAACTTCACCTTTTATGGCATATAATATGTATTTTAACTGACCAGGGCTGAAGTAAAATATTGATTTTAAACTATGCAAAAGTTATTTTGGATAGATGCGGTGCACGGATGCACTTGCACGTCGTTACAAACAAGCTTTTCATGCCCCTCTTTAATACCACGAAAGGCTAATGTCTGGCAGTACAAAACTGATTTACATACGTAGCATACACAAATACTACTACTTATGCAATAGATACATGTATACATTACCTCTATGCTGGTAACGCCGAACATAACGTCATAAGATTTGAACTGCGCCATCGCGTGCTCTTCCATGAGAACGTGAGGCTCTCTGGCCACCACGATTCCATCCACACAGGGGCCAAAGGCTGAATGATGTTCAGGAGCTCGGATGTCCACACTGACAATTTCTGATGCGGGTCTACGTTGAGGGGCAATAAAACAAAAGCAAACGGAATAATAATGATAATTGTTTCTGCGGTGTTCTTAAAGCAGTAAAAAAACATTAAAATGTCTATCACACCAGCTTAAAGGAGAGAAATTACTATTAGAATCAAACTTACTTTGTTTTTAGACAGTCAACGAGTGCCCTTGAGTCGTCAACGGGACAATCGAGCGCTTGGCCAATACGGCGGCTGTATTTCCCCGCATCCCTTGCAATTGCCCATGGGCTTAGCGCTGATCCGGACATCAGCACAGCTCGCTGGAATAAGCCTGTGGAAGTAACAAACGACGAAAGCAACCTTAGAGCAGTTAGTTGACAGACTCAACCCGGAAACCGAGGTCGACAGCAATGGAAACAATAAGTTCACCGCTTAGCATACTACTTAGCACTACGAAGAGGAAAAGGGAGAAACCGAGCACTAGTTTGAAATGAACGAGGACTAAAGCGGAAGTCTTAATTACCCTTGCGCTATAGGCAAAAATTACATGTTGAGGACCTAAAGCCCTTCTCAGCATCCTCAACCCTCGACACAGACATTCAGCCACCGTCGCGAGTGCACGCTAACGCTGCCGGGGGGCCGCCCGGCAGCGTTAGCGTGCTTGTAACCGCTTGCACGAGTTATGAACACGCTGAAGAGACATGCTACGTAACAGTAGCAGCAAGATTTGGCGTACATATAATATCTAACAAGATACTATTGATTTGAAGTTTGATGATTTAGGACAAATCAATAATTTTCCAGATGCCTTAGCTACAGGGCAAACAGAGAGACAAGTAAACGTACCTCTTGCCATTGGAGTTAACATCAACAGGTTAACGAGGGCCGCTCCGTGACCGTGCCCGAATACCGTAACATTGCGTGCATCGCCTCCGAACTCGGCCACGTTACTAGCCACCCAATGAAGAGCTGCGACAACGTCTAACAGGCCGTTGTTACCTCCTCTGCCGCTTTCCAGGGGAGGTAGAAAACCTACAAAAAAATTAGCAAGCATGAAATTGTACCATATTAATTACTCAGACCACGTCTCAGGTGTATCAGACCTATAACCTTGGGAGTGGCAACAGCAGTAGTACGAACAACTAAAAGCGCCGACCGACATACGTTGATTTTGTGTATGTCCAAAGGGTACACAACACGGAATTTCACGCTATACATGTAGCAGTTTTGCTGTTGCAGAACACTTTTGTTGTGGCGAGATGTCGAGTTGTAAGTGGTTTAAAGGTACAGGCAAGGTTAGGACTGTTTGAACAAGATATGCGTTGCCATATCCAGGTAGCATAGGCTTAGGTATATTAATTCAGGCCGTCCCGTCCCGGTCTTCTCCTCCTCCGAAGCTTCGCTTAATTTGAAGCTCTCCAATCACTTTAGCATCACCGTACACAGTTATGCTGCTATTACCAGTGCGATCTTTGTTACTTATAGCATCGCACTCCTCAGCAGCGACGCAGGAAAGATGGTTAACGATAATGGCGCGGCAGTTGCCACTGCTGATCAACCGTAAGCAGCAACGGCTACTAATGTCGCAATGCTGCTCAATTCAATTAAGCAAATTAAAATGCAGCTTCCTTTATCACTCCTGGATGTTCGCAGTACATGCTTATTTAGCTTCAGCTTCTTTAAATTCAGAATTGCGCTTTCTATTTGTAACGCTTTCTCCTCTAATCTCTGTCGTGTTCTCTCTGTTTAATAAGTTGTCTCCACGATCGTTACCGACGCACACTAGCCTCACGCACCGCTCAATCAATTCCTATACGATTCATCCTCATAGGTACTCGTTGCCCGTTCCCCTATCGTGTTGTTCGTTCATTGGAACAGAGTTTGCGAATCGAATTGGCTTCTCTGACAAAAGTTGTCCTTCCACTCGTCCTGTATCGTGCACGAGCCCCACGCACTTGGTGGTTCTCACTAATTGGCTCTCATCTCGGCTTCGTAGAACTCGTCCCGCTGTGGTCGGATATTTGTTGGAAGGAGTCACCTTCCCTCACCACCTCCGTTCGCAGTCATGCTAGTGCTCACAGCGGCGCGTTGACGCTGTCGGTGGTAGGAAAGCTTTCTTCCCGTCTCTATGGGAAGTTTCTTTGTGCTCGTCTTTCTCGTGTATCAAAGCCAATAAAGGCACTTTTCTGTATTATCTATTCCCATGGTAGTCTCAGAGGCAGAAGCACGTCTGCCTGCTCGCTGACGCAGCTGGTGTCGCTGTCGTAGCTAACTATCAAGACCGGATCGGAATGCAGTGGGACGAAATAGAGAGACATAGAGAGAGAGAGAGAGAACATGGCGAGGCGAACGAAAGTTAAAGGAGCAGGGCCTGGCTGCCCAGAGCCATCGGCAATGGCTTGGCAAAACCGCTTCCTTCTTTTAGGAGTCGCATCACTTTCTCGCCGGCCGGCGTCCCGATACTGCTCCCACTGAACCTCAGTTTGTACATCGACCCCGAATTCGACTGGAACTTACGTTTGAGATTGCTCGGCACACCCTCTAAAGCTTGTGTTGTTCTCTGTATGACTGTGTATGCTGTTGGTTGAATTGAGACGGCGGTCGATTTGTCCTACGCAGCGTCGACGGCTCACAGCAGATTCTACACGTGACGATGGATCTAAGTCTTGTTTGCCAGGTGCCGATTCTTTTAACGCGTTCCAACTCGGTAGCCATAAGAGTCGTCACTCACCGATGCCGCAGGGCGCTCGTGGTGGAATTAATGGAGTACGAATCACAAAACACTCAGTCGTTTCCTGGTACTCTAATGGCCTGCGCAAGAATGAAGACTTGTAAAAGCATAGAAACAACAGTCAAATGAAATCCAATATGTCTTTGTCGTGCTGGCACTGATTGTCTGGACAGTAAGGGCAAACGCGGAACTAGGGATAAATTTAAACTTATAACGCTTGTTTTCCAAAATAGATCTGCTAGTGGCCAAAATATTTCTGATTCTACGTTGCTTGATTTCTATATGAAATGCTGCCTACGACTGAAAAGTAGGGTTCATCAAAGCCACGGGTGTCATTTTGGAATACTAAAAATGTTTGTTAAACAATTTGTTTAGAACAAGAACATCTTTCTTACTGACGGGTTGACTACTGATGCCGAGGAGAACGATTCAATACACGCAAGAACGTTTCCTGCAGCAGTTGTCCTCACTAATTCGCATAATATCTGGGCCTAGGCTTAATTAATCACTGAGTTAATTAATCTCTAATTTCAAACACTTCAAGTCTCGGAGCACGCGTGCAATCGGTTATATCTGAAATATATTGACTTACTTTTGTTTGTAAAAAACCTAAAAAATGTGACAGTTTAAATGGAAGAGACATACCACTACATACATATATTTAGACAGATTTTTTGCCTACATATTGTCGCTGAATAACTGCACAGTAACAAACAAAGGCTGGTCATGATCTCGTGCTGGCAAAACACATCTGCTGTTAGTTCACGCTTCATAAGCGACCTCTCGTTGCTTATACCCCTATGTCAGACAGTAGAAAGCAAGTGACCTACCGCCGCACATCGAAGATCCTTATATCGAATGTAGTATGCAATTGATTTTTTCATCTTATAGACAGTAGATGAGTCGTGAGAGAAGGAGAGCACGGTTTAATTGGGCTGGGTCTGTATAGAGCGTGCAAAATCCGTCCGCATACGTGCCAATACGCCTCTTGTCTAGCTGCCTGCCATTTTTTTCCAGAGCGCTTTCTTATTCAGGTATTCTGACATTTTAGAGCCCCTTCTATTTCACACGCCCGTATAACGCCTGCTTATACAAGCTGCTATCCAGACATTCATCAACCGGACTGGCCTTCATTGGGATTAGAGCCCATTGCCCGCTTCACAATGCAGAAGTAGCATAGGCAGGCTAATTACCGACCATCCCTTAGTAGTGTCACAAACTACTGCATCGAGCAGTTGTGGCAATATGTCTGGGTTAAGGTTATACGCATTTATTCGCCAAAGGACGCGTCTGTTTCTGTACGCATGTATATGCAAGAGGGCTTTGCTGCCTCAGAGAACAGGGGAGGGAAAGAGAAGGAATGTAAGTGCATTATCAGAAAAGTCGATCTCGGCTAAAGAAGCTCCCTGAGGTACCTTTGATGGTCTCGATGCTTGGAAAAGAAATGGCTGTCCTGGCTAAAACTCTAGGCTGCGTATCGGATCGGATCCCAATTGCCAGTGAGAGGTTCTTGTAAATATGTGGCCGGCTAAGACGATCCAGGTACTTGCACTGGCAATGCAGCCTGTTTCCTTGTATAAATATCACATACCATGTGTGTATTGGCTGATGCGTGTGCGTTTCTGCTGTCGTAGCGCCGTACGATATCCTTAAACGCAGAAGAGGTCATGCGCCTGTACTTTATCGTTAAAAACGACGGAGGTGGCACAAACGAGAACAGAGGCGGCAGTAGTAGCGTCACTAATAGGAACATATTCTTAGAAGACTTCACACTGAAGCGAACTTGTAAGGTTGAGTAGTTTGTCATTAGATCGGATTTTCTTTCGACTTGCCCCTATTGACCTGTTTGCCTCGGCTCATGATGAAGAGGGAATATTCAACGCATGTTAAGATGATCGTACGTTGTTCTCGTTGTTAGAACGATAGCCGCTTCAGTGTTTTTTGTTATGCCTTCTGTCTGATAGAGATCTGAAGTCACTTAGATCAGATATACTGCGTGAGCGATATGGCATTACCATGTTTACCGTCAATAGCTTGAAGAAATATCGAGTCGTTCATGGTATTGTGTACCGTAGTGTTTTTCCCTACACCCAGGTGGCTTCATTCTGCAGGAAGAATACGAGGCCGAAAAAGATGTATGTTCTAGGCATTTTCTCGAACCTTGTGGAGCGACTAGCGCCCCAGCTTCCCTATTGACACTGGTAGGTAGCACGACTCCACATATATCGCACCTATATTTGCTGTCAGTTATTCTAGAGTGAATGTAACGGCAAGTTTTAGAATTTCCAGTGGGACCGTCACCGCGGATTCAAAAATTTCAACCGTGAAATACTTTAATTATATTCATATAAGTACGAATCTCTCTTACCTCCGCATAAAGCTTGGTGTTGTTCTGACACCAGCCTAAAGTGCCAGATAAAATTATTTGCGCTTCGTTTCGTTTTTTCCACTCTCCAACACACATACAACTAAAATACACTACGTAATATACGCTCATCGCAAAATGACTAGGTGGAGAGGTTTCATAAAGGGTTATATCTTATTAAATGGGCTGTTCTTCACATATGTAGATCTACCTGGCCTCGGTTTATGAGGCACGCGCCAAGCAAAGGTTGTTCATTTGGGAGCGTGCGATTTTTCTAATAGCGATTGAAAAGTTCGAAAGGCGACGCTAACGACCTCACATGACAGACTTTACTTAAATTAGTATCAAACTTTTAGTCGCTAGTAGTATTTACTAGAGAATGGTCGTAGTGTAATCTGATGTTTCGGAAATATGAAATAAGCATAGAACACTCCCGCTTTTAATTTCGCCAATTCTTAATCACCAAGACCCGTTGCACTCAATGAAGTTACTGCAGGGCGTCCTGGACCTCAGAGCGCGGCTAGAAATTAGAGTACTGGCGTTCGCGAGACCGGGCGGAGAATCTCAATAAACTTTAAAGTAATGATAATACCTTGAACTTGTTAAAGAGGACTTGCATTTTGATGCATATGAATGTGGGTTGGAGTTCCGGTAAATACATTGGAAAAATACACGACAGAACAGGAATTCTACGTTGTTCCAGTTCTATACCATTCGTTTATACTTCCAGTTACGTTACATTTTATAAATACTTTAGATTTAGGGATTTAGTTTACATAATTTCAGTCAGATCTCCGGAAACGAATGGTTGGCACGATCATCTTGACGCCGAAACTCACATTCAAGTAGAAGAAAGAGCTTAAACCGTTAGCACTACATTTACAGTGTGATTATATTAGATCTAGCCGTAAGTTTGAGCTCCCTCTGGAAAACCTCCACAATATAGAGTTTGTTTTCGACCATAATGGAACTGTGAAATTTTTCTCACGGGTGTAAAGGTGGAAATTACTAATAAACCGACTTACTACTATTATTAGTATACACTATATCGTTGCTATTTATTAATGAAAGATCCTATTTCAAATACAAGCATGTCTTCATCCCTTAAAAGGACATACCCTTCGATAGTACTTACCAAAGATGCCTAAACGATAGTTGAGCGTAATAACCACGACGTTGCCGTGGCTCGCAAGAACTGTTCCATCGAACGAGTTCCCCGAGTTCCATTCAAATGACTCGCCGTGAATGAATACCATGACTGGCAGATGCATCGGTGAACGACCAACTGGAAAAATTGGCAAAAAACCAAGCTATTTACTCTGAATCTCCCAAAACACCCAATCGGCAACGTTAATTTTCAAGTGATTAACTCAGGCCTAGGCACACATATATATATATATATATATATATTGTATAGTACACGACTCCGAAAAAAATCATCGTCGAAATAGATCAGCGCTTACAGGGCTCCTTGATTTTTGACAGGGTCGCCAGCAAATGACGTAGCTTGTGGTAAACATAACTCACTCGCACTCCTCTGGATGAATCTTTCGCTTGCAACCTAAGTATTCGGTCGAACTGTATAACCCGCCACATTATATAATTTATATATTTGCACGTTTTTACATTATGCACCCAGCGTATACATTGTTGCCACGTTATCCTAGCTCTTATAAAAAGCGACTGTCACACATAATCAACGCTGTAGTATGGGCCTAAATACAAGCTAATAAAATGCGTACCGCTATTTAATATGTACGATACCAAACGGAACAACGACAGAAGTTAGGTAACAATAAAATAGACACGATCTAAGCTCCGCCATCTATGTCCTGCTATTAATAAAAGCGGCCTATTAAAAAAATTAATGCCCGATACGCACTAGCTAAAGATATATGACGTGCCTGTATGACGTATTCGTCATCATTGCCTCTTTCTTTGTCTGTCACGTTTTGCCCAAGTTTGCTGGCTCCTTTTTTAGGCTAGAGGATTGGCTTTGAGTAGGCCGAAGTCCCGCCGAGCGTCTGAACACGGAGAAGGTTTCTGCATCTACATGAAAATATGGAAAATGTCAACCAACTGCGGGAAAGATGTCCATGCAAAGGGGAGCTTCAAGCAGGCACATTGTTACCCCTACGTCTGGCACCGCAGCCCCTGGCGAAGAAAGAGGACACAGTGCAGCAGAGGCCTCTACCGGAGACCCGCGCGCTTCCGCTGACGAAGTATGCCAGCGGTGTCGTGTTTCGTCCTTTGACGATGTCGGCGACGAAAGCTGTAGTGGTAACCGTATGATGATGATAGTTGTGAGTCGGGGCTCTACCCATTAATATCGAATTTTCGGCGAGACTCGCTACGGGCGCTCGTTCGCCGTGTGGTTAATGGCGGGAAGTCTGCTCCCGGCAGCGATGCTCCCAGCAGCGATGGTTCCAGGCGATAGGTTTTCCAAGCGGCGGGGAGGACACAAAGTTTCGGTAGCCCAACTACTCCATAGTGGCTGCTTTGGCTTATACATAGGTCTTCTTCTGTCCTGATATGCATTTATATTGCATATGTTATTCTCTATCTATGTACCCATTTATGTATGTAGTTTGAGTCATTTTTCAATAAATACCGTTAGCTTTTTATAGCCATATAATTAACATAGATGAGCAGAAATAATGTGGCTAAATATAGCGTACGTTTGAATACAAAATACATGAGCGCTTAATGTTACTCCTTCTTGTATGTGCGTCAATGGTCACTTACAGTCCCAATGTTGCAATCCGATGAAATTAGCTGGCTAAGTTAATACCTAGTATAATGAT